GAGCTCAACGTCCGAGGAAGCTGCGCCGGCCATGACTGCAAGGTGCAGGCGGGTTGGAGACAAAAGCTGGCCAAAATGCTGCAGGTTCTAGTCTAGATGCCATCTTCTGAAGAAATGCTCAAACAAGACTTGCAACCAAAGCTTTCTGCCAAACCAGGCCTCACCATTCGAGAAAGGTACGACTTCATCATGCGTGCCATGCATGATGGCAACCTGCGAAAAAGTGAGACGACTGACCCCTGCTCGGAAATGCCAGACGCACTTCAAACCCGCGAGGAATCGTCAGAGAATGTCATAGAAACTCACCGCCTACACTACATAGGGTGCTGCCCGAAGTATAAAGGAAGCAAACGAATGTGCATAGGACAGATCAACCCGGCCGGAGCTTTGATCTTGCCAATCTTCTCGTAGTTGCGGAAGATGTCCAAATAGTACCCTGAGAGCTCCGGATTGCACCGCTTGGCTGCAGATAAAGCCCAAGCATGGGCTTCCGGCCCAGCGTGGCGGCTGTGCCACCCATCACCTCAGTTGTAAGCAAATCAAATGATTTCTGCTCTACGGCCGCAGACACACCCCCCTCCGAGCCGCCTACCACACATGCCCCACCTGAAAGCATCCATGTTCCAACACATCCAGGCAGTCAGAGCGAATTGCCCTAAGCTTCGTGCTCTCCAAGGGAGATTGGAGAATCACCCCAGCTGCATCCAAGGGTGAAAACTCTGTGCCCTCAAGGCATGAAGGCACAGCAAAGCAAGCATCTGACGGTCTTCACTCATGACATGTGCAAAGCACCTCCACCTGACTCCGAGAAGCCAGATCCACGCTGGGACCAGAACCTTAGACAACAGAAATGACTGTGCTGAAGAATACCAGAAGCCTCTGCGCGCCCACCTATCGATCGTCCGAAGATTACCTGAGCATCTCAGTGAAAGGCTTGTTCCTCCTTCACCTTCTGCACCCCACACCAAAGCCTGTAAACTGCGCCTTGTGCATGGTTTGCACATGCGTTTGGCACACATTTCCAGCACTCTGGAGGCTCCTATGGTTCATAGCATTGCACACCACTTTAATCTACTAGAATATGTCCACATGTTGCTGTTGAACTTCCAAACATGGGACATGTGGGCCAATAAATGGGAACCTAGAACCTTGCGCAGAAATCCATGTTCGAAGCGCTTTGGATGGTTTCTTTTGGGCTTTTCACGCAAAATGTTCTCCCAAGTGTGCTGATGATGATCCGCGTCGTTACGGGACACGTGCGTGCGCAGCGGGGCAAGCATCATCCCCACAATTGGGGTCACAGCTTGGGTTCGGTCTTGGACCAGAAGACCTTTGTTCCCTGCAAAACCATGGAAAGTAGCAAGAACATCACTTTTGCAGAGGATTCGTGATCTGAGCATGATCAGCACAACGTGGACTGCGTTTCTTAACCTCCTCCTCCGCGTCCTCACAACCACAGGCTCACCTGGGCGCATGGCAATCCGTTTCGGAGGGATCTTCTCCTCATCCACCAAGTACCGCCAAGCCTTTGGGAAATTGGCATTCAGTGTACTGAACCATTTAGTCTCCCAAGGCGTACCTGATCAACGGTCATAGTCAAAGCATCTGAGGAACCTGCTGCATCAATGCTGCGTATGCATCCGTCCTCGCTGGCCAACAAAATTCCAGTGGATACCTAGCCAATGATTGAACAACTACGGCCTCCGACGGTGAGTGACCAGCCAGCCGGGAGAGTGAGTAACCAACATATTCGTAACTGAACACATCTGCGCCTTGGTGGCTTTCTCATGTTGCTAGAGGCGCTTTGAACAAGAAACTCCAAAATCCAGGCTCCAGTCCCGTGTATTCTGCGAGAGCATCTATGTAATCGAGATGCAGCCCTACATCCTGAAACAGAGAACCATGCTTGCCGATACTCTAAGCTGCAATGAGGGCACAGATGCCTCAGCGTTTCCGTGGCTGTAAAGGATCGTTGCTGGGGGCGTGGAAAGGAACGAGAGCCTTCCTAGTCACTTGCAAGCGATAAACACATCATTGGCTCAATCGGATCTTCATGAAGTAAGGGCTTGACGCTGTGCTTTGACATGACAAGCTGGGATGCTCTCATCTTCGTTGGTCTTCAAGAATACTAGGTCACGCCTGACAACACAGAAGAAAACCGAACCTGTGAGGGAGCTGAGCAACACTGTAACCAACCTCCGGAGGAGCTCATCCTGCCGCGCAGACCGGTTGCAAGCATGCTTCAAAACGAAGGCAACATCAGGTCATGAAGATATATTATCCCCCCATAATGGAGAATCAAATGGAAAGAAAATGGAAAATGAAATGGAAGCTGGGGGAATATAGGGATTTAAGGAAGAATTCCAGCAAGTAAAAGCCGAACATGTACCCTGATTAGCTTCAGCACCATCGGAACAAACACAGAAGTAAAGGCTCAATTCCCAAGCGCCTGGTAGAACGCCTTGCCCAGGTGCGGCGCTGGAAAGGCCACCGCATTTATGGCACCTTGTTGCAGCAACAAATTCCAATTCCTCTACGGTGAAAACGGGCCTGTTTACCCATCATACAGGCTAAACGATAAGGGTCTCGGCTTCCCATTGGCACAGGTGCGGCAACTCGCTTGGCTGACAAAGTCTCACTAGGCTCTTGCTGCCTTTTGCTTCTTTGAACTTCTCCTCAAAGTATCTGTTTCCTCCTAGTTCCACTGGGAGTACATCAGAAGCTATCATTCCTAGAGCTTTCATTCCAGCTTGATCCAAAAAATTGAGGGATGCTGGATGCAAGAATACGGTGATCATGTAGATATGCTGCCCTCGCACTTGACTCCTTCTTGTCAGCCTGCTGGCGTGTTGACTCCCAGAACCTCACAGGAGGATCATGCAGTGCATCCAGAGGTGCCACAATGAAGTCCGCAGGCGGGTACGAGGTCGTCTCAGGAATCCGGTACTCTCGTCCGTGACGGCGAAAGTTGGCCCTGATGCGATCACGAACATCTGCTGGTCTCTCCCAACTTGTTGCACTTCGTGGCTTATCAGGAGGAAGGTCGTGCCGCAAAAAAGACTCCTCTGGCTGGAGCAGAATGAAACAAGAATCCGAGCTTTGATGAAACTGGAATCGAGGATGGGACTCGTCGTAGCATGGCGCGAAAGTTGTCACGAAGAACGGCTCTCGAGCAAATTGAAAATACCAACCACGGCCCTCTATTTTTCCCTTAAAGCAATCTGTACCCGACGGATCACCGGCACTGAGGCCTGCCAGAACTCTCCGAACAGTGAGCGCGAAACTCGTAAGATCAGAAGAATAGCTCTTTCCACGTACTTCAAACACGAAGCCATCCAAGGCAAATCCCTGCTTGACCATCAGGCAGAAGCGCATCAGCCGTGGAAGACATAGAGCCACGTTCACTGCAAGAATGGCTTCCTCGCCCTCTGCACCGCAAGCCTGGGGATTCCAATCATTACCTCGGGGCTTTACAAAGCAAGTGCAAAAAATACTGGCAAACGAAACAAGACTGTAAGCCTCCTGCCCCATAAGTGCGCCTTGGCAGCAAAGACACACTGCACCTTAGTCAATCAGATTTTTTGAAGACGCCAAATGAAGGAAAACGGAGCTGACTGAGTAAAGCACGTGCCTTCTAACCTTATCAAACTGTCGTACGGCCTCAGCATCAGTAAAATCTGGGTTGATGACCTGAGCAAGGGGCTTTGGCCACAGATTACCATCCGCGTGCAGGCCATTCAGAGCTTCAGACACTTGATACCGCCTCGCTTTCCAGAGTCCAACGTTTTATCGGACCCCAGACAACGTTGGAGCCTGCACCTTGGCAGCAAAAGGTATGCTGCTAAGCAAACTGCTGAAATGCAGAGGCAGCGGGACAAGTCAGCCCGGCCTTGACCAAACTGCTCAGCAAAAGCAGCAACCCGCACAGGGTGAACCTGACGACGCTTCACTCAACCTTGTCAAAAAGGCTCTTGAAGAGAGCGCAACTGTCAGCTGCTCTTTCTGCCTCTGCGATAATGGCGAAGGCAGCAAATCCTTTCTGCACCCCTTTCGCACACATTCGCACACGCACACGCACACGCACATGCATACGCACACGCACACGCACGCACATGCACGCTTGGACATGACGACTGCGCAGACTCATGAGGCGCCGGAACACAATAAGAAACGTCAACAAGCACTATGCTGGTTTTGGGACATGAACGGCATCCTGGACTGAAAGCTCAACGGCCAGCCATGAAGTGGAATCACAACATTTAGTGCAGAGTCAATCACATCATGGGCCGCAAAACCTATGATTCTATGATGCAAGTTGCTCCGAACGAATCCTGTGTACGCTGCTCTTGATTTGGATGAAGCAGACAAGCCACATACCCAAACAACGTTGTTGTTGGTTTCTGAGATGCGAACGCACTTGGCCCAAAGTGCAGCAACTTGACGCTCACAGGCTCCAGCCACTTCCTTGCCTCATGCAGCACATCCACCGTGCACAAGATATGGGGTCGCGGAAATGCACAAACGCATCAGGAGCTGGCAAGACCAACAAACGAGAATGATCGCAAGCACGGCTGCCCAAAATGCACTGGCCTCAACTGACAGCATTTGGCAAATTTTCTTTCGAAAATATACACAACAAACGAGAAATGAGTTTCAAACGTTGCGTATCAACAGGCAGAGAAACAGGATGACCTGCACAGCTTCAAAAGCGTGTCATACCAAATCTCAAATGCCGCAGCATGATAGTATACACGCTGTGCACACCGTTGGGTACAGCAGGCTATAACGCCATGGCTGGCTAGAAATATATGCGTGGAGCATGTTTTCTACCCGTCACATCAGGACAGTTGGACACACAATAATGTTGCAAGGTTGCACATCTTGGCAAGCCAACCCCTGTTGCTACAGTGGACTCTTAAGCCACCGCCAGCAACCAGGGTACAGAGGTAACTTGATATGAATGACATGGCATACTGTCAAGACTCAAGACTGAGCCAAGAGTCTCTTTGCGAAAATGCATAATTTGTGAACACAAACAGCACTAAACTGGTCAGTTGCTTCGAGCTCCAGGGAGGAGTCTTAAGAAGATGGGCGTAACCTCCAAAAAACATGTGCTGCAATGACCAACAAAACGGCTCGAAAATGTGTCAAGTCCGGCTTGGGGTCTCAAGTCTCAAGTAATGTCATGACCTTGTTTCAGCTATGTTTCAACATCACGGTTTTTGTAGCCACAATGCGATTGTTTCAAGTCCGCACGCCTGTCAAATCAACTGCGCCCTCCATGTATTCTATTCACGCTCTTCGTGAAAAAAAAAGTCACCGCATGTGTCCATGTAGGGCTCACAACTGCCAGGGAAGCGTTGTGCATTTGCACGCCCTAGCTTAATTTGACATCGACAAATATGCCGAAGCTCCTGAACTGGCCCGAGAGGTGACGCGCGTGCATTGTCTGACCTCACGACGCGGCACTCGACATGTTGAGCTGCCATGGAAGCTGCGGGCGAGACCGAGCCCAAACAATGTGTCCTGGACTGTTGAACCCCAAAGTGTCGCTCAAGTGCCCAAACCCCCCTTGGCAGCTCTGTGCTTGCACTTGCTTGGACTGTCATTGGAATTGCTGATTGCACTTGTTTGAAGGTACATGGGCGTGTCTCACACTACTGCTTCGTCTGAATACCAGATGCATTGTAGCTTGACTTGAGCGGTGCGACAGTGCGCTTGCGAAAAGAAGTAGGCCGGGCTTTGGTCAGCGCAAGCGAGCACTGTCTTGCGCAACAAACGCCCAGGCGAGGGCGTGTGGGGCTCTGCGGGCCTGCTCGGCCTGAAGCCGGCGGGCTCAGGAGCGCTCAAGACGCTCTAGCGGGCTGAGTCCTGAGCAAAAAAAGGCTGGCGTGCCTTAGTGCGTCCTGTTGAGACAGCGGGCTGAAACAGGGCGAAAGGTGAAACTGCAAGTATAGAGCTGCAAAGGCAAGTAAGCTCACTGCTTTCGTTCGAACCTGAGCGGCAAGGCTTAGGGCTTGTCGGGTAAGAGAAGAGCAAGGGGGGTGCGGGTGAAAAAAGATTTATGCTACGTAGAAAGCGATCTACTCAAAGGCTTGTAGTGGTCTGACAGTCTTGTCCGGGAGAAACCATGCGCCCGGAATAGGATTTCAATCTGCTCAGAGCCTAGCAGCACTCTCGTGAAGTTCTCTCCAATGGATCCCCAACACGGACAGCGGACAGGAGCCAAACATACTGGAAGGCACGAGGCGAAGGTCCATGCAATATTTAAGCAAATCACAATCGGCAACAATCATGAGCCACAACCTTGAATAACCAATTCCATGTTTTACCAACGCAGAACAAGTGTCCATAATGGCCACAGATTTTAAGTGAATGTTTACAATAAGCCACATTTTGTGCACCATCTTCCGAGATTGCTAGACATGCTTCGCAGTAAATGGCTGTTGCTTAGACTTGGATCATCACGACCATATTTACTCCAACGTATCTTTTATGCTTCGATTTTGTGTAGAGCCTGCATAAATACGCTTGGGAGTTGGGCCCTTCAGTTAGAAAAATGGGGGTTGAGAGCAATTGCAGCAAGCCAAGGCTCCTGTCAGGGTCAACATCCAAGAATTTTGCATGAACGACCAACATGCGAGTCACGGCAAGTGTTTCCACGCCAGAGATATCAGCATAATTTGACAGGAAGAATGTCACCACGCTGACACTGCGGAATCTCCCATCATCACGTATCTCTCAGACGGCATATTCAACTGGAGCAATTCCGTACACGGATCATCATGGCCCAAAAGGCTAGAAAATCCAGATTCGTCACACATTGATCCAGTACACCGACCAACTCACTCGTTGATCCAAGCAAGCGCACTCAAGGCAAGAGACACATCGCTTCCAACATGCGAGATTGATAAAGCACAGAAATGGCTGCTAGACAGGATTCAGCTGACGCCTTTTTTGCTCGACGCCTCTTTGGCTTGGCTTGCCTGGCACATGGATACTGCAAAACGAGTCGTTGTGGCAGTGATGGCACATTGGAAGTTGTGGGATCTGACATCAGCAGCCCTTTGCTTCTGTGATGGTATACGTGCAGTGAGTCCCCATTGCCTTGCCTCAGGCCAAACACCACGAACGCGGGTCGAGACCTGAGTCGGACGCATCTCTCTACTGGCTTTTACCATTTTACCTTTCTTCCTGCTCCTGGCTTGCTGGATCCTGCCTTGGCTCTTGGTACCTCGGACATTCTCCAACCCTTCCTGACTCCATTCATGCTCCGAGTTCTCCGTACTTGCTTTGACCCTTGCAAACTCTGGCGGACGCAGGTTACCTTGTCTGTGGCTTTCTTGCTTCCTGAAGTCAATAAATGTCCCCCCCATGTTCTGGCCTTGGCTTTCATTGTCTCAGCCTGCCCTTCCAAACATGGGTGAGGACACTTCTTGCCTGTGACACTCATTGCGCAGTAGACTTGTTGGCTCTGCGATCCTGTGAAGAAACTGGGGAGCCATGGAGAGAGGGCGCCCGTACACCTCTCTTGACAGTGTTGACGTGCGGCTACGAAGAGCTGAGCATCTCCTCACACAACACACGCGCCAAATCCGTGGCCTCGAGGTGATGCAGATGCTTGCAGTGATTGCAGACAGATGTCCTTGGCGCTTGATGCTCTGGTCTGTGCTTCGCGCATATCATCTAGCTCATTGCGCCCAGGTTATGTCCTTGCTGCAGCGCGTGCGCGTCTCAGTGGATTTGGCTGAAGTGAGACTCTTTCTCTCGTTGCCCCTGTTTGAACAGCTTGCCTGCGTACCTATCTCCTGACACCCTTGTCTTGCTCTCGGCCTGATCGGCAGGTTGTGCAAGGTCAAGGCAGTTGCCGGCGCAATGAGTTTACATTCACTCAAAGGGCACAATTCGTACCTCTACCACCGGAATCATGCCCCGAGGGACAATTGCAACAAAGTGAGCCTCTTGAGTTCCCGTGCCCTGGATTCGAACACGAACCATGACTTGAGTCGTCTGGGTTGCATTCCCAGCAGGTCTCATCTCATGCATCGTGGCGCTAGCTGTAGGCGGAGGAGTCGCAGCTGTTTTATCCGGAATAACATGTTCACGACCAAACCACGGAGTCTCCGAGGACGACATCGGCACTTGGGCATCAGCAGCAGCACGGAGTTCCTCAGTCACACCGGCATCAGAAAAGCTGCCCTGCGGCCTTGCCTTCGGCGTAGATCTCAGTTCGTGAACACCGGCACAAACGAGACGAATAAAGTGAATATAGGCCCGTGGAAACCTGGAATGCCAAGATCGTCCGCCATCCACAACACCGTCAAACAGAAGGACAACTGTGCGCTTTTCACCTTTTGTAAGTCGGGACGGCGCCGCAGTCCGGACGACCTCTACGACGCCAGAATCAGCTTACCACGTCTGCGACGGATCTATCAAGAGATTTCTCTGCCGCCAGTGCTGTTGAGCTTTAGAACGCGGAGACCGTCGACCAGAACGGAGCTTCTAAGCGGTGGCCCGTCTGGTTACATTCCTCGTCCAGCACGACCAACGTTGTTGTTGTTCTCTACAACATCAATGAGTCTGAGCGCCAGCGGAGATGGCCTCAACCGTCTTGACAGCGCCAACCGAGTAGTCACTGTCAGACAAAGAAGTTGTTAAGCGCCATGTCTGCAGAGCTTTCATCACCTCTACTTGCCTACAGTTTATGACCTTCTGGCAAACCACCTTCTAGCTGGCTCTGTTTGTGCCTGACCTAGCCTGCCTATCCTTGCCAAGCCGTGCCCGTGGCTCTCACTCGTCAAGTTGCTGCTTGTGTTGTACTCCGCTTTGTAACCTCGGTCTAGCAGCTCTTCTCCCGCAGAAAGTGCCCTCGAGTTGGAAGGCGGAGACAATGTCTGCGACGAGATGCTGAAACCCAAACTACACTCTCACAGGC